AAATTGGAGATGCGGAGATTTGTGTTAACGTTGCATTTAAGTAATGGAGTGCAAGAGCATCGTGCTTTTGCTGGCCCAACAACTTTGGAAGTATCAGTATGAGAATTTTTTCTTCTGGATGATATCCCGAGTGATTTGGATACAGGGATCGGTTCATAATATTTGATTGAGTTGATTGTTTGGAGTCAAGATAATGATAAATGTTTCAGCTAGCAGCAAGATCTGAAAATGGACAGGAGATAAAGAAAATGAAACTGGACAATGAACAAGCAGTGAGCAGTACTGAACAAGCAGTAAGCAGTACCGTGGAACCTGCTCATTAGGATAGTTTCTGATAGAGAACAGAAATCTTTCAATCTTCCCTTGTCTTTACCTCATCACAGCTGCATTCATTTTTCTTCCCACCGTCGTGGTATCTGTATAGTATTTCTTGTTTACTAAGTATCGGTCATGCCGTAGGACGCTCTCGTAGTCGAAATATTGTTCAAGTTGCTCTTGCTATATTCTCTAACTGTGATTCTCTGTAAAGTATGGTGATTTCGTTTATCACGTCGTATAACTACTTGTCGAGTTCTAATTCAAACTGTGTCTACCAAAAACTTCCGCCCAAATTCTTGATTATGCTAATTTTTTCTTCGATCATGAGTAAACTATTAATCGGGTGTTTGCAAACTTGGGTCGCGCTGAACTCCTACCCGGGGGGGGGTCCTATTCGGCTAATTTGGGTGGGGTTTAGAGACAAAATTGGGGTTTGGAGCTTAAAGGCAGCGTCCAGGCAAGTCTGGACCTATGGGGATTTTACATGGAAAGTACTTTTGGGGCCCTAACTAACCCACTACCCAACCGGCAGCTCAGGTAGTGCTGTAACGCCTGAGATATTCTGCTCGAAACTGGACCCCGCGACCGTGTTTCGCATGGATTCACGGCGCAAAGCGTGGATCCTGGCGCGAAACTGCCATGAATCCATTTGACTACGTTCGCGGGGGTCTGTTTCGAGGGGAATATCTCCGCCATTAGAGCACTACCTGAGCTGCTGCTTCGGCAGTGCCTTAGTTAGGGCCCCAAAAGTCCATGTAAAAGCCCCATAGGTCCAGATCTGCCTGGAAGCTGCCTTTAATTAGGGCTAATTACAGTATGCCGCGGCAGACTTGCAGAGCACAAAATCGGGGGGCTCCGGCGCACAAAATCGGGGGGCTCCGGAGCAGAAAATGGGAGGTATCCGGAGCAGAAAATGAGAGGTATCCGGAACAGAAAATGGGAGGTCTCTGGAGCAGAAAATGGGAGGTAACCGGAGCAGAAATGGGAGGTCTCCGCCGGAGAAATGGGAGGGCTCCGCCGGACAAATGGGAGACCCACCGCTGGGGAAACGGCGCGACCCTGCCATTTCTCCGGCGGAGGGGTCCTATCCGCTGCCTGAGAACAGCTTTACTTTAAGCTCAGGAAAACTGTCGCCGATACATCAGAGGCCTGGAACGATTTTGACTGCCTAAGACTGACTGCAGAATCAATGTGGAAAAAAGTCCATAACTTCGTTTAGGGAATTGCAAATCGGATAATGAACACAGAATTAGAATCAGCGTATACATCTTTTTGCAAAAGGCCACTGTCACCAAGTATCCTTCTCTCGTAAGCTTTTTTCGCAGACTGAAAAGGATGTTTGAAGAAGTCGATCCTAATACAAAGTTCTAATGCATTGCAATTACTGTAGAGCTTGACCATGGATCCTACAAACACGTTGTTCCTTTTGCTTTTTCAAAAACCACATTCAGTTTGCCTTTGTGCAGTTGTTAAGCCGTAATTCTAAGCCTGACAAGGTAGCAAATAACACTAGTTTACGATGATAATTGGGTTGCATGGCGTGGTAAGAGCGGGATCTAACAGTTTCAGAAAATCTCGTGACAGCCAGCTTGGTTGCATACCAGTCGCGTTCTAACATTACAAACAGTGCAGATTGCCATTGCTCAGACAAAAGAATGAATGACGAACTGCTCTGAAAGTACTTTACCTGAAAGTTCATGGATTCATAGGCAGTCAATACTACCTGACGCAAAATTCAAATGCTCCCAAATTAGCAAACAATCTCGAGGGACCTAATTCAAGTCGCCCTCAAATTAGCAAACCATTTCGTAAGTACGAAAAGGGACTGCTTTCATTGAGAGAATTTTGTTTCATCGTTAGCCCTCATTTTGTATCGCTTTGTAAGTAGAACGAAACGGTTGCTCTCAGACTCTGCTCAATTATCTGCATGATGGCCAACTCTCAAGTTTTTGTTTCGATTATTTGTATCAATAGATGATTTTTACGATTTTTTTTTGTTTGCTTGAAGAGAGGATTTTATTGCACAAATCATGCAGAGATAATTTGTTTTATCCTTGTGTAGTAATTGAACTGTTTTATGATAATTGGTGGGCCACTCTTGGAGCTTCATTCAACCTGATATTTCGACAATAATTCCCCCCCCCCTATCTAAAGGCAGTGTCCGGTAAATTCAGGTGATAATTTCAAAGCCGTGACATTGAATCTTTAATCACCTTCACTTTCAAAGGAAGGATGCGCATGCCACCACATCTGACGAACTCCCAAATTGACTTTTAAGGCAGTGTCTTGACGAGGTCGGGTTTTCAAATCAAAGTGGCATGCAGAAATGGACCCCGTCGAACAGGGCATCGCCCAAATGCAATAACGCTTGACCAGAAGTAGTAAGAAACGGTCGGAAAGTTGGAAAACTTACGCATCTAGGGGGGAGGGGCTTCCACCCGTGGATTTTATTAATTGCGGCAGAGTACGCATGCTTACACAATTGAAGTCGTAAGGTCCTGCACCGGCTATGCATCTTTTAACGCCGTCCAATCAAGTTGCAAGACTAAACGCACATTCTCGCCGTTTTCTCGTTTTCCAATGTTTATTTATGGATCCAGTGTTCCGGATTACCCTAGATATGTGAGTGTATGTCAAGATTTGCGATTTCTATTGCAAACGTTCAGCAACTAGCACATATTTAGTGTTTTATAGCGTTTTAGAAGTATTGTGAGTTTCGGAGAAAAAACACGCGTAATCATGGGTTGGCCAGTTTTATTCTCTTAAAATTCGAGACCATGTTTTAAAAGTTAAAAATTCAAGAATTTGCAAGTGATAACATATTCGTAGATATTGCAATCAGCTTTTTGACAAAAGCAGTAAATTTCATCAGTTAGTGAGTCCAAACGGCTAGAAGACAGTTCTCGTCTTTCTTGAAAACGAGAAGCTATTCGCGTAGTCATCACCCATGCCCCACATAGGAATTGAGGTCTCAGATTCTCGGCTGTCATAATTTGATAGAAGACGCAAGAACATGACAAGGTTGCTCAGGAAAGCATGGAAATGTAAGTTACCACACTACCGATTTTCCCTCAAAGTACTAGAAGTGTGAATAGCTCTCGATTATCAGCAAACTGGTGCCGGTCATATCTATTGTCAGCTATACTTCCATATGAGCTGTCCGCTAGTGCGTCATTCTACCCATCCAACATCGGTGGATATATGTCCGCTTTGCTGTCAAAATCTCGTAAAATGGATTGCAATACTTCTGCACTATCTTACTTCATTCGCTTCGGAGCTAACAAGCAGGAGAAGTAAAGGAATGATTTTTATGCGGTTTACATGCATTTCGGTATGAGTACCTTTTTCAAAAGTTAAAGTTTTCAGGTCTTACTTGTTTGCCACCTTGTGCGGTCAAGCTTGATTGATATACCAAAGTGCATGTTAGCAGCGTAAGAGTCATTCAAAACTGAGTTGCTCAACAAATGAAAACTAAACTGTGCGCCTAGCACAAATAGTGTGGTAGGGACTTTATACATTCTTGACAGGTCCAGGGCTTATCGTAAGAAGCGATGATTAAGTCAAACCCAGCTCACCATCAGACTCAGATAACACGCTTCAAAAACTTACAGGCAGAGGATACTTAGTCGAAAGCACCAATCCAGACAAGACATATATCATCTCAAAGCGCTTGAAATGCTGATTCCAAATATGTAGTTTCTAGCAGCGGAGCGGTTTTGCAGAAGGAATTATCAGTGGTGTTTCCCTGTGGGGTTGAAGCCACCTCCAGCAGGCCTCCCCTTATCTATGAGCACTACAAAGACCAACTGGTGGCAATTGGCTTAGTGGTAAGTAATTTGAAAGAAGATTACAAGAAGGATTATAATACTCACATTATGGTTTTACTGACTTTTAACTTCGATTAGTATCAATCTCATCACAAATTTCAGGCTTAAGGCTCCAATGCCATTTAGAAGCTCAATTTTCCAAAAATTGCGACAAAGTTGCATGCGAATAGGATTAAGAACTCGAAACTTTCCTTATCAAGCAAGCCATTTACCACTAGGCCAGTTGCCACCAGTTGGTACTCCTAAACAGTGCTCATGGATAAGGGAAGACCTGCTGGAGGGCGCCTCAACCCCAGAGGGAAGCAACCCTCCTAACTCCTCCCACAAAACCGCTCCGCTGCTATAAACCACAGATTTGGTTTTTTTTTTCAGCGTTTCAAGCGCATATGCATCATCTGGATTGGTTTGAATAGGTATCCTTTCCTTCTTAGTTCTCCTCAAACACTATTGAGCAATGGTAATCATACTGATACTGCAAATATTTATCTTCATATTCTCAGAGTATGTTTGAAAAAACCACAAATCTGTTTTAAATTCCGTTTAAGGACAAGTTATAGTTGTTGGAATGTAACCGCTTGGTTAACACGGTCAGCACTTAAGTGAAATGATTACAACCATTGATTCAATGCACGATTTGTAAAGTTGGTCATGTGTGCATTTGCGGCATTGGTCATGCAGCTGGTTAGACCCTGCTATGTCCCAAGTTTATCGCAAATTTGGAGCTTTCGGAAGGCTTCTGGAACTTTCAAGAAATAGAAAATTTTGTAACAGAAATTATCCGACAACCTCGTACATCGCGACTTTCATACAGAGCTATACAGTATACAGAAGCTCACACGATTGCTGCAGTCTTGAATGCGGTGGTGGCTATTTTCCTTTTGGACCTGGATTAGATGGTGTGAAGACGACGTGGAGATCGGCTCATCTGATGGATACAAGATTGCCTCTGATATGCTTATGAACTCTATAAATTTTTCGGTTCGTCTGGTTTTTCTCCTCTAGGCATGCAGCTAGTGCGTTTTTAGATTGATCCATGCGATGATTTCTTTGAATTTACTTGCGGCAACTGGATAGCTAAAAACCCAATCAAGAAGCACATGAGTAGATCATCACAATTCGATTTACTCAACGATCAAGTGAATGAGCAAGTAAGAGGTACGTCCTTAAGAGGGGTGCTGCGACTTTCCAGAAAATTGATCACAAACTTCACAATCAAAAAAAAACATGAAATAAAGCATCCTCAATCTACTTTTCATTGTAGATTATTGCTGCTACTGAATATATGCAGTTTCATTTTGCTTCTCATAGCTCTTTTGTTCATACAGGCGTGTTGTAGGCATATTTGTATCAAACGAGACGTTCCGTTCGAAATCCATAACTGCCTTGAAAGCTATCTATAAGAAATGTATGGATACGGACAAACTGAACCGCAGAGGTGCTAAGCGATTGATAGCTAAAGTCAAGGTTAGCATTTGACTTGTATGTAAATTAGTCAGGTACTTTCTATTTCAGAGACGCTTCGCTTGGCCGATAGTAGATGGAGATAAAAAGTGGGAAGTGAAGGATTACGACTTGACATCGCTACTTGTCCATGTGTCACGAATTCGCGGTGTTAATGTGTTCGTTTCATGGGATATATACCACGACGACAAGAATGTTTCTCGCCGCATCATTCAGGTTCGTTTTTTTTTGTTCAGCAATATTACATTCGAAATTCATGCATTGATGCTGCAGGGATGTGTTTTTTAAGAAAGCCATGTTAATTGACCATCACACTGACGTGCTGTCTCTGACTATAGCGCTATGGAAATAAGAAAATAAGATGGATGTAATGGAGTAGTAATGGTAACATAATGACTTATAATAATGGGCAAAAGGTATATATATATATATAGCGCCCTGGGGGATATTGTTATGGTGGGACTCCCGGTCATCTCACTGACCTCCAGGCGCGGTCCAGTTGGTTGATGTTTCCATTGGGCCGAGAAAATAGCCCTTGAACCGGCGCGGCTTGGACGACTTCGCTTACCGTTCGGCGCGGGACCCCACGATCGCTCTCCCGCATTGTGCACGCTATCCAAAGTGAAAATTACAGGCAGCAGGATCTTTGTGCCAGGGCCTCCCAATCCACTGAAGTTCTCGTCCGAACTGCCTTTTGGAAGTTGGGTAAACGCCCCGAAAAAGGTCTTTTGAACCGTTTAGCTCAAATTGAAAACTATGGGGCGAAAAGGCTCATAACATGCGAAAACATGGAAATGCAAAATCTGCCGGAACCCTGCCCTCAATGCTACAAGGGATGTATTTCGTAAGAACGCGATGTTAATTGACTTGACCACCACATTCAGTGTTATACCTGGCTATGTGCTGAGGAAATAAGGTGTGATGTAATGGAGTAGTGATGGTATATGATATGATGTGCAAGCGACTCAATGTTTTATCAATCAGTTAAGATGTCAGTGCCATGTTTTTTGAAACAGTCAGTACTGACTTATACGTGCTTTCGAGCGCAAGTCAACACAGGAAAGTTACAAAGCAATAAGGAAAATTAAACCGCTGACGTTTACCTTTCCGATCTTCTTCTGAGTTTACACCTAACAGCACAGAATATGCGGAAATAGCTGCGCAGTGCTGGAGCTATACATTCACCCTATAGCTTTAATTTACTTTGGACTAATGCAGAAACATGTAATTATGGCTCTTTCCGTAAATGTCGACGTGCTATGATCATCCAACACTGCTCTCACTTCCAGCAAAATCTATAAATACTTGAGAAAAGGTGATACTAGATGGCGAATAAAAGCAATCTTATTCCGATTATTACTCACAGCAAGTACCCCTTGTTAAATGTTTTACCGCGTACGGAATATGCGCACGCTAGCAAGGTTCTATGACTTAGCGTGTTCGTACAGCCTTTTAAAAGGTTGAGGCTGATTGCAATGCAACATTTGAGCAAAATTCACTTTTTCCCCTACTTTGAATAATAGAGGTAATGCAGAAATAACACTTTTCAGATTGCAAAATGTATTTGCCAAAGTAGTGCTCGCATAATATATAATAAATCGCTTATCAATCAATAGAGCCAATATATTTATCTATTTGATTTAGTTACGTTTAGAGTTCTCCTTTTCAGTTTGATCAGGCAGACCTTAGACTGGGTCGTTCTAGGGAATATTACTTGGATATGACAAAGTATGATAAGAAGATTGAAGCTCTCAGAAGGTATCTTATCAGACAGGTGACTTATATATTTTTTGGAAACCAAGTATGGGCGTTGTTCTAACTCCGAATTGCAGGCTAAATTGTTCCAAAGAGATGGCGGTCGGCCCACCTACAGGAAAAAAATTGAAAACGACGTAAACGAAATGATTGATCTTGAGATAAAGTTAGCGAAAATCTTGGTGCCAGAGGAGAATCGCAGGAACTGGACAAGAATGTATAACCTCTATCACTTGAGCGATATGCAGAAGCTCATGCCATTGGTGATGTTTTCCTAACTATTAAATCAAAGCTTTAGCACAGAAATCTGGTACCAGGTTGTAGACAAATACTGTTTAGGTCAACTGGACACGATACTTCTTAGCAGTGGCTCCATCTTCTTCTCACAACTACCTAAAATCAAATCCAGAAATTATTATTAGGGAAGTCGACTACATGCGAAAGTAATTTTTAATGTCCTAGTCTTTTTCCTTGCTAATTCGTTTTGTATCAGTTTCCTTGTTTAGTCTCAGCAAGCTTTTGCGGCGGGTGAAACCCCGTATAATCACTAACTATGTTTTTATGCGACTTTCTAAAGATTGGGAGGGGGAGATGGGGGAGGATTATGAGAAGATCGCTGAGGTAATCATCAAAAAAAGCTCCTGCCTATGGAAGTTTTTTCCTTATTTAGGAATTCAATCTAATAATGTACGGAAAGAAAGAAAAGCCACCGCGTGAGATTTACTGCATTCGACACACAGTGAATTTGCTGCAGTATGCTACCAGCGCGGTATATGTCAGAAAAATGTTCAACCAGGTATCAAAACTAAAGATCGTACCTATTACGTTTTTGTTTATGGCTTAGGAGTCGAAAGCTGTTGTTTTAAAAATGATCAATGATATTCAAAGGGCGTTTCGTGAGATGCTAAGCACAAACAAGTGGATAAATAGCACTAGAAATGTAAGATAAAAGCCTAAAAGGAATACGGTGCAGAACAACAACATTACAGGCAGCCTTAGAGAAGGCGAATTCAATGTTGAGTCAGATAGCTTACCCCAACTTCGTTCTGAATGACGAGGAGCTTGACAACTACTATGATGGCGTAAGAGAATTCTTACTTTGAACAAGTGTTAAAAAGTATTGCTTAGCTTGATGTACGTGAAAGTGACTCGTACAGCAAAATGCTGGACAAAGTAGCTCGATGGCATATTGAGCACTCATTCAAACTATTAATGGAACGTGTAGATCGTCATGAGTATGATTTCAATTCAGCTACGGTTAACGCTTATTATATGCCAACAACTAATTCGATCAGTAAGTAGCAGCACCTTCTCGAATAGTCTCTGCACATGTGAAGTTACAGAATTTCCCGCTGCCATTCTTCAAGCTCCATTCTTTCACCACACCTTTCCCAGGTTAGTCTGAACAGAGCCATTGCACTTTGAAAAAAAAAATTTTCCTACGCCTTTGTAGAAAACGGAGTAGTATTTGCCAATCCGAGTCAAATTCAAGAACCACGTATATAAGCATAGTTGAGTCATCTGTAAACTTTTGAGACAATTTATTCCCGGATATTTATGTATGTTAAAAAATAGTCGCAGCGCTTAAGACGAGTCCCTCAAGCCAAAAAAAAATTCTGGATAGGCTGTGCAGATCGGATCTATATACAGAGTGTCCCAAAAAGATGTGCACACTGTTTGATCGTTAATAACTCTCTTGCTTTCATGTCTTTTGCTGAGCTTGAGGTACCATTCTGTAGAGGAGGATAAACTTAGATTTACTGTATGGAGCGAATCACTAATCACTCTTTGTTACTGTAGGATCACTGTATGAACTTTTAGCATACAGCGTCGCTGTGGAATAGGCCTTTTGATGAAATAATCTCGAAAAAATCTAAAAATTTGTGTAGCAAGGTTTTCAGGGGGGGGGGGGGCGGAAGTTTTTCACCCAAGCCATATTCTCGCACCTAGTGATGTGTCTGCCAGGCACATTCGGGGTTACTATAATTACGAGCTCCTCAGAAAACCAAGACATCGCAAGCCCAGCCCCTTGCCCAGAGTCGCTCCAGATGCTGAAACCGGGATTTCAAAGAAACTTTCAAAATCGAAGTTCAGGAGTGAATTTGTTCCAATCAAGACCGAAGTTCGGATTTAGGGGTTTTCGAGGTTGCTCTTTCCAGTAATGGGACTTGTTTGTTGCAAAGTCAACGTCTAGCACCGATAATGCTAACCAAGGAATTCGGATTAGAGTTTTTCATAATTTCATATTTCAATCGAGATCGAAGCCTAGGTTTACGGGTTCTCGAAAACGCTTATTCGATAACGATATATGTTTTGTTCACTTTCAATAGCAATCAATAGTGATTTCCGAACATTTCTTAAAGATATAAATGTTTTTCTTGCAAAACCGAATTACTTCCATAGGCCAGAAGCAGATATACGTATGTACTCCCGTGATTTCGCTCTCAAGAGTATGTCAAGGTACAGCGCTGATAATGACCCAGCCAAGTATTTCATCAAACTTGTTGTATCATAGGTCAGTGAGGTCATCGAGGCTGGCTCAATGCCAGAAAGCTTTATAGAAGACCTAGAAGGCTCGGAATGATGTCAAACAATAGAAGAAAACTATTTATTATTTTGAAAACAACCGATATAACTCTGCTCCACTTTTCAGAAAATTTTTAGTATTATTAGCACTCAATGAAAACATGGAAAAACCACGAGAAATGTAACGCTTAACCGACTGGAAGAAGAATACATCTTCAGGAAAAATAGTTTATCGCTAAGGTTCAGCATTTTATTGTGTGCCACTTTCAAAATTTTATTCAATTGTATTGCTTTCACATCAACCCAACGCAAAACTATGAGTGGACCATTGAAAATATTTATGGCATAGATTCTGAAAATTTTGTTTATAGTTAAAGGCAGTGTCCGGGCAAAAACTCGATTTTGAGATTTTGTGCTTACCCGGGCCTATTCGCCATGCTGAATCCGAAAATCCACATTGGAGAGCGCAAAAACGACGAAAAAGGGCTCTAGCATAGGAGTAAAATCAAAAGGGGGCTGGGTCTTCCCCACGGTGAATTCACGGTCCCAGCTTCCGGAGCAATCTTTTTGATTCGGTTTTAAGTCACTCGTTTGCACTTGATCGGTAGTGATGTCAGGGCGGCTAACGGATTCGAGAAAATTGCTTTGGAAGCTAGAAGCGTGAATTCACAGTGGAGAAAACCCCGCCCACTTGCTGATTTCCCTCCAGTGTTAGAGCCCTTTTTCGTCGTTTTCGCGCTCTCCAGTGTGGATTTTCGGTTTCAGCATAGGGAATGGGCCCGGGTAAGCACAAAATCTCAAAATCGAGTTTTTGCCCGGACACTGCCTTTAAATTTAACTTATTCCGAATACGTGATAATTACCACAACACGACCAGTTTAAAGTTTGCTTCAATCTATTTTAGTTCAGCCACACGTATTCAGAATTAAATTTCAAACAAATCTATGCTACGGCTATTTCTTCATTACTTCATTCATATTTTTTGAAAGCTCGTAGACCTGAACCTCGGTCTTGTTTGAACTAGGAAATTTCAGAAACCTCTAAGTCCGTTTAATTTTGATTGAGCATTATCGGTGCTGAACGTTGACTTTGCAGCAAACAGATCTCACTACTGAAAAGAGCAACCTCGAAAACCCCTAAATCCAAACCTTGGTCTTGATTGGAGCAAATTCACTCTTGAACTTCGATTTTGAAAGTTTCTTTGTAATTCCGGTTTCAGCATCTGGAGCGACTCTGGATAGGGGGCGGGGCTTGCGATGTCTTGGTCTTCTGGGGAGCTCGTAATTATAGCGACTCCGAATGTGCCTGGCAGGCACATCACTTAGATGCGAGAATATGACTCGGGTGAGAAACTTCCCGCACCCGGTTTTCAGGCGTGTCGATTTCACTACATATCTTTCCACCAGTTTTTCGAGCTTTCTTGATGGTGTATTCACATTTCTGACAAACATTGGAAAATCGGTTGTCACCCTAAATTTGAAATAACTTGTGAAAGAAGCAGTGCACTGATGTGCAATTTTCATATTTAGAATCAGCAACTTCATTAACTCAGTTCAAGAGTTTCTGGCTTCTTTGACTTTCTTTCTAAGGCAAAATACCGCTTTTAATGGCTTAAAACCCTCCTCGAAATTAGTACCGTAATCCCACACCAATGAACAAATGCTGATAAGTCGCTCCATACTGTAAATCTAAGTTGAACCTCGCTCTAAAGAATGGTACCTCAAGCTCGGCAATGAACATGAAAGCAAGAGAGTTATTAACGATCAAACAGTGTGCACATCTTTTTGGGACACCCTGTACAAAAAGTTGAAGTATCCTGTAAGTAAAGGGTCCGTGAAGATACACAGCTGCCCCTCGGTCTGAGTAAACGTTTGTCGTGGCTTTTATTGTATAAGTTTATACTTTTTCAAACATCGACGTCCGTCATGACATAAGCGCATCCAATTTAGTGCAAACCATTTTCTGCTTGTTATAAACAAGGCTTTTGTCTATCTGGGGCAAAATTTTGATTTCAATTTCCTTCAAAAGTACTGAAGCATGTAAAGGCTTTTTTTCATAAGCAAGCGGGTGAAAATGTCTAAAAGGTCTAAGGCAGGCGCTATACTCCTCGAGGAGTATAGCATGGCGACGGGCGCCATTCGTAGCGACTGGCGATCGCCAATATCGGCGACTACACGTTTGATACGTATCGATTAGCGACTGGCGATCGCCAATCGCCAAACAAGTTACCACACGTCCAATCGATACACATTTAATGTGTAGTCGCCAACACTGGCGACTGGCGATCGCTAGTCGTAGCGACTGGCGATCACCAATATTGGCGACTACACGTTTCATACGTATCGATTTGACATGTGGTAAGTTGTTTGGCGATTGGCGATCGCCAGTCGCTAATCGATACGTGTCAAACGTGTAGTGCCGTTATTGGCGCTCGCCAGTCGCTAATCGATACATATCAAACGTGTAGTCGCCAACACTGGCGACTGGCGCTCCCCAATATCGGTGACAAAAATTGCCGGTTTTACATGTATTTGATGCATATCGATCGTCGCCATGCTATACTCCTCGAGAACTATAGCGCCTGCCTAAAAGGGCGGTTTTCAGCAAAAAAGAAAGATTTGACACGATGCATAACGAACAATTCTCTGTTGCTGCGTCAAGCTCCGAAAGATACTTTCTTCTATGGATTTTCCTTTTAGGTCGCCTTCATAAATGTGATTACGCACAACATGAGTTTGGACGTGTTTAAGTAACCCTGGACTATGTAGAATCTACAAAATAGAATGATTAGCTTGAGATCATCTTTGACAGACAACCTCTACTCTTGCTGCTCATTTTCGGATTACGAGCAAGAATGCAGGGTGTCCCAAAAGTAAGTATATAGTATTCAATCGATAATAATTCTTCTCCCACCAAGTCTTTTGCTTAGCTTTATGTATCAATCAGTAGAGCAGGCTTCAACTTAGATTTACAAAATAGAACGAATCATCCAACACTCTACGTTAGTGTAGAATTATGGGTAAACTCTCAGCCTATAGCGCCATTGTGAAATAGGCCTTTCTAAAAAAAATTCGAAAAAAGGTAGAAACTTGTGTACCAGTGTTTTCAGATATGCCTAGTTCATTGCACAACTTTTTACAAGTTATTTAATCACATTTTTGAAAAACACTGAAAAAAAGGTTGTTGAGGTTTTCGTGGCCTGAAAAGAAAAAAGTCTTACAATGAAGTGCGAGCTTTACATTCATGGTCAGTTCAGCCCAATGAGGCTTTCAGCCTGTTAGAGCAAACTTCAGCCACTGACGGCTCAAAACGTCTTCAAAATTCCTACTGTAATTCTACAGTAGTGAAGAGCAATGTTGATTCACTCCATACTATATATCTAAGTTAGATACTGCTCTACCGAATGGTGTTTGAAGCTAAGCAAAAGATCTGTGGAAAGAGAGTTACTAGCGATAAAAAGTGTGTACTTACTTTTGGGACACCCTATGTATAGGACCTTCAAAGCTTTTCGAACTGAGAAGTTATCATTGGTTGTCGGTTATTTCAACGGATATTATGTTATCATCGATCGCTACAAGGTTTTTCCAGTACCGCTGTCCTCCTTTTGTGCTTCCCCAGTAAGTGCACAAGGCTCTATCCTCTTTTACTCACCACATGTTCATTCACAGACCTCGAAAGTGGTAGAGCAGGCTTGCGGTATAAATGGATAGCATGGCATACTTCAAATTTTAACTAACAAATCGAGCTGCTTTGTGAGCAATCCTGCGACTTCATCTTCGTGCACACGATGCAATTTGCGGAGTGCAACGTCCATAGTGTGATGGTTCCAAACCAGCTGTTTTTGATGTTTTAAATTTCAGACAACTTCAGAAAACAACTGGTTCGCAATCGATCATATCATGCATTTGCAAGAGTCCGTAGTTTGCACTAACGAGAATTCAAAAAATTGCTCAGTATCTGGTGTGGTTTATCGAACATGGCGGGTCATTCGAATTAGCAATACCGCTCAGCTACTCTTCTGCGTGAACGAGCATGTAGTCAGCAGAAGAAGAGAGAAACCTTTGATTATGTTGATCTTGTTACGCCAATGAGATTTGATGAAGCCTTTTATTATTGCGGCCTTATATTTTGACTTATGTCTTCAGAAGCCTGGAGTGGTGCGAGATTTAGATCTTAGGCTCCCGCCAGAGTGCCGAAGTTATGCCAGCGCTACGCCAGCATTTCGATGGATACGCGTGTATTTTGTTGGGGACGTCAGCTAGCCCCGCCCCAACGAAATACACGTGTATCGATCGAAATGCTGGCGTAGCGCTGGCATAACTTCGGCACTCTGGCGGGAGCCTTATGCTTACTCCACCAAACGCCTTATCATCCTCTGGCTAGTTGCGTTTTCCCCTCCGATTTTTCAAGAAAAATTCGCATAAAAAGGAAGACGAACCAACTTCAGCGTTGCTTCGCCATGGTGCACTGGTGGTGCTGTGCAACCCGTTTTGACGTGCCAGTAGTGCCAATGAGCTACTCTAGGCCACTTGATATTACGCATAGTAGCACTACATTATAGCTCGCATAACGTTATGAACGGTATCAAGTCATTCGTAACCGTTAGACTCTCCTTTCGCTTGTTCATAGTGGGGTTTTTCTGCGAGATAAGGCTGAATTGATAATAGCATGCATTTTTTACGTCACTCGGCCATGACAGATTTGGGCTATTTCTTTATGTAAGCTAGGAAGTTAAATATTCGTTTCCTTTAATCGTGTTGCAAATGCTTCCTGATGTGATGTTTTGATGTGGCAATACTTCCGAGGTATAGTCAGTTCCGACTATTGGAATTTTATCAAGGATGGCAACAACTGTTTTATTTGCTAAAAATGATCTATGCAATTCGTATAAAATGAGCCTATCGCACTATTGTTTTGTCTAAACGTATGTTACCAAATCAATCGAAAGAATCCATTTGTGCTATTACAGAGACCACTGAGCCCATTAAGCCTAAAAGGCAAAACCGCCCTGGCGAAAATTTTGAATTGGCGAGAATTTTGAATAAATAAACTTGTAGATTACTGGCAAGAAGACTTAAATTGCTCGAAAGGCACGCAGACGCATACATTCTTGCTCGTAATCGAAAATGAGTGGCAAAATTGAACAGCTGCCTGTCACAATTTGCCCTTCCCATAACTTGGTGATTTTAAGATAACCTACAGCTAAAAATATTCGAACTGTATGTACTGTACGTTGTTGCCATAAACCGCAGGCGACCGAAAAGCTTCAATTGACTCTGTTTCAGTTGCTTTGGTTAGTCAAGACTGCGTATTTGCACAAATGAAAACCAGCGGATTGATCAACATGTTTTGTGCATTGTCACCATGAACGTTGGCGTCCAAAAGAGGGTTTATTGGCTCTCTTCAGTGTTTTTAATATGTCAAGTTATTACACGCTAACCCAAAACCATGCTCAACAATGCACATAGGTTCGACAGAGATGTTAGTTGATTTACTTCCACGCTTTTGAGAATGGGTTCTTTTTGCAACATAATAGAATGTTCCAGCAAAGACGTGGTTTGCCATGAAAAGTTAAACGATATACCATTTATAACCTCCACGAAAACATTTGAACGACTTATTGCAACCATGCCGAGTTTTGGTCTGAGCATGTACTACAGCAGCAAAAAAAAAACAAATTGCTAAAATGCGGTACTTGACAATCATATTTGGAGAGAAAATTTTCGAGCAATATTTTTTTGGATTAAGGGATGAGAGTATGGAGAAGTCTAGTGTGTTTTGCATTTAAATGATACTGATTGAGTGCTTTCACGAAAATTGTATGATTTCTCACTTACAGGGCCTTGAACTATGGTGCAATTGGATCTATTATCGCGCATGAGATCTCGCATGCATTTGACGATGAAGGTATTTTTATATTATTTACCAAAATACAGTCTTGCTTTCTCGATTTATGCTGATTGCTCTGGATTAGTATGTAAAAGGCTGAATTGATAGCATGCATTTTTTTGCCCGTCACTTGGCAATGACGAATTTGGGCTAATTGTTATTGTAAGCTAAGACAGTTAAATAATTATTCCACTTGATCATGTTGCAGATGCTTGATGTGATGTTTTGATGTGATTATAGAATTTCCGAGGTATAGTCAATTTCGACTATGTTTGGTAACTTTGTATCAAAGATGACAAACAAACGTTTTTTTTGCTACAAAAACGATCTATCAATTTGTATAAAAGGAGCCTATCAGCACTACTGCTTTGTCTAAATGTACGTTGCCAAATTAATCGATGAATCCATTTGTACTATTATAAGATGAGACTTTCCAAACAGTCGGCTCAGATTGGCACCTACACTTATGTCGTGTCTTTGCGCTAGGTTATTGTAATAGATAAAGGTAATTTTTAATTGGGCATATAATGAAATAGGGTCGCTGTATCCCACAAGCAGCAGTCCACCACTTCAACAAAATTCAAACCATGGCCCACCATTAGCCAACATGGTAGCATGGCATGAACCACTGAGTGGCTCAATTGTTGTCACTGTGTTGACTGACTCTAGAATGCTCGTGCAAGTGTTTATTTGTAGGGAGTCAGTACGACGCCATCGGCAACCTTCGCGAGTGGTGGGATGCGGATGTGAAAAAGAAGTACCATAAGCGAGCTCAATGTTTGATTGACCAATACGGAAAGATTGAAGTAAGTAGAGCTTGGTCGCCAGATTTGGACAGCGTTAGTTTATGATTTAGACATACTGGTAGTTAACACGCTTGTGCGGCACAGTTTCGAATGGAATATAAGTTTAGGTACCGGGAACCGGCCACAAAATCAACGGTGAACTCACTGTAGGGGAAAATATTGCCGATAATGGAGGAGTGAAGTCAGCCTACAGGGTAAATATGCGCTAATGCCAGGCAGACTTCCTCGCTGCGTTTTCTAGGCGTACAAAGCATATTTGCGAAAACACGGAGAAGAGTTGAAGATCAAAGGTTTGGAAGGCTATAGTAGTGAACAGATATTCTTCATGGGCTACGCAACGGTAACAATTCATAATAGGCTTGAGATCAGCGACATAACTCTATATCTCTGCTTAAGGCCTTTTGTGGAGACTACACAAAGGACGGACTGATCGACTATCTTCTTAGAACTCCTCATAGTCCAATGCGTTATCGGTAAAATCTAATATAGCCCGCTCCATCTCATTAAAACATTATTTTAGAGTTAATCAAGTGCTGGCCAATCAACGCGGGTTTGCTGCTGCCTTCAGTTGTGAAAAGGGCAGTAAGATGAACCCCGAAAAACGCTGTGGTGTCTGGTAAACAGAAAGGAGGCAAATAACGGATTGTGTACCAGTATACAAAAGCCTACCGATGTGTTCGATAACCTTCACATATGTTCTTTCGATGAATTTACTGCGTCACCTGCCGATGTGTTCGATGTCTCTCACATATGTTCTTTCGATGGATTTATCGTCAACATCTCTATCGTTCCAAATTGATTATGAATTCCGGGTTTGCTGGACGGAAAACGGTTCTATACAGAGGCTTAAGCTGCGCATTTCTTTGTCGCTCAAAACTCCTGTCAAAGTCTTTATTTTATCCATGCTAATTGATCCTGCCTGCGACCTCCTCCTAGTCTCCTCCCGCTGTAAAGTGACTGCCTAGGTACTTGTATGACGCTTCTTCTTCAGCTCTTCACCTGATTATAATACCTGATGCATTCCGTCTTTCTGGTGCTGAGCATCAAGAGCAGCAAATCATACAGCTTTAACCAGTATTTGTAAGTGAGAGAGGAACCTTAGTGTACTCCAACCTTGATTTCAAACTCTTTCGATCGCCCTGCGATTGTTTGTATTGGATAAGGGCATTGTGGTAAATCAATTGCATTCGTTGAACATACTCCTCTGACACCATGTGTCAGCCACTATATGACTTCGTGAGGCATCTTATCGAAGGCTTTCCCAATCTTAGGAAGGCAGCATGCAATTCTCTGCTTCTTCCTATATTCTCCATTATTAACCGAGGGAAGTGGATAATGTCGGTTTCCTACTCCTTTCACGAACCCTCACTAATTCGATGACAACTCTACCATATCTCGAAGTCGTATTCCAATCACTTGCTCGCTGATATTTGGAGTGTGTGGCTCATCAATCGGATTGATCGGTGAAATGCGCAGTCTGTTATGTCTCTTTTGTTCTTCCCTATCGGGATTGCTGTGTTAGAGTACCAATAGCAAGGCATACTCTTGCGGCTTATATTAGGTTGTTCGAAAATAATGCAAGTTTTTGCAAATGAATTTTCAAAACATGTGCATTTTGCGACTCACTTTGCATACCATAAGAAAGCGCTCTTCATGCTTTCGCTTATGCGCTCTTACTTCTACAATCATTACAATAGTTCAAATCCTATGACTCTCCGAAGATGAAGCCTTGAATCACAAAATTTAAACTTTGCACTACTTTGGGTTGAACTTATTCGTCAAGAGGGTTATTTCCATAATAACATAGCTGAAGCAAGATGTTAAATAAACCTGCAAAATAAATAGTAGCGCTTCTTTTTAACAGCTATGAGAGCGGAATTTGAGGCTCCAACATACCCACTTGTCGCGGCCACCTCACAACGTGGAAAACTTTTCTGCGGAAAGCAACCGTGAAAGTCTATCTCCTTGAAGAGTGGGGCCAGTGCGTCAGATACTATTTCAGCTGGTACCTCCTAGGCTTTATAATCAGCGAGTGAATGAAAAATTCAAAATTTTTAGAGATCGCAGCTGTAGAAAAAAAATCAAAAAAAAAAAGAAAGATTTTGATTCCATAGTTTTTTCTCTGGCAAAAAGTTTCCAAAAAAAATTCTGCACAGCTATATATGGGAGTACTAGTTTGTGGTTATAGGTCGTAGAAATTTCTCGCTGAACACTTATATCCGACAGGAGCTTACAATTTGCCAAAGATGACCCTACTGGAAAGTCTTCTTACACTCTAGTTTCCAGTAATTTGGTTATCAGAGCTACAGGCATAGTTGCGATAGGGGAAGTGATGGGTCTTACCCCCTTCAGTTTGAGGTCAAGCTCCAGATGAGCTCCTTCATCTGAGCTGAGATTGGTATATTGTACTCTGAGAATACAAAATAAAAATCGTTATTAGAAGGTTTCGCAGACTAAGTACCTGAAACAACAAGTACACTCATAAATTTATAAAAGAAACGGTATTTGTGTTTATTCATATTATTTATTTATAAAAAAAGCATCTACAAAAGCACAAACTCTTTCCGAGCATTCATAAATACGTCCCTGAACGTTACAGTTCCATGAAAATTGATCAATCTTATTTTAGTAATATAATCAACACTTCTTTGTTCAAAGCTACAACTCTTTTGGGTATATTGCGACGGTAAGTGAGGACACAAAATCAGTTGATTTTGGAGTTTATAAAATCCCTCATATCTCGCGGCACAAAAAACCTAGAAAAAAGTCGACGGCCCCACGTCGATTCTCCATGATCTCAGCTTTCGAATAGTATACAGCATGTTAGGGCTTCTTTGCTTCCCGGCTCTAAAAAGCACTTGCTCCGATGACCCATAAAAGCCAATACATTGGGTGGAGCTGGGTAGAGCAAGCCAATAGTAAATATCTCCACCCCAATTTTGAAAATTGGTAAGTTTTTTTGCCCAGCAACCTATATACCATTCGAAAGCTCAGGAAAAGGGATTCGACGTAGGCCGTCGACTTCTTTCTAGCCCCCACTACCGAGAGATACAGCGCATTTTATCTGAAAACATGTCCATTTTCAACAGCAGATTTCTGCCGAACGAAGACCTAATCACTGCTAATTATCTATCTATGTTAAAAAGCAAGTCTTCATTAACAAACGTAGTCCGTCGACTTTCCCGAATAATCATTTGGAGAGCAGAAAGTGAAGGCACAAAATTAGTTGATTCTTGAAATACATAAAATCCCTCATATCTCGCGACACAGAAGACCTAGAAAAAAGTCGACGGCCTCGATTCTCCATGATCTCAGCTTTCGAATAGTTTACAGCATGAGGGCTACTTTGCTTCGCGGCTCTAAAAAGCACTTGCTCCAGTGATTCCATAAAAGCCAACACATTGTAAGAGCGAGGTGGAGCAAGCTAATAGTAAAAAATGTGCTGTGGATTGACATCGTTATCAGTAACGGGAACGTGAGCGAACGCGTCTATTTAAGCGTGCTTATCGTTGTTATATGTTTATGTTTTTTTAGTAAAAAATGCGCTTTTGATTGACAGTTGTGCCATCATTATCAGCACGTACTCAAAAAACTATGGGAGATTGGTGAATTTCCACACCTTCACACAAAAACCCGCCCATTTCTGGAATCTATACTCTGTGAACCTAGTGCTGAAGAAGGTCACTTTCGTGAAAACGCTCTAGGCTCACCTAATTGAAGAGAATGGTCGGTTTCAATGAATCAAAAACTTTAAGACATTCAGAAGAACAACATGTTATTAAAATATCCTTCAATGCTTTGGAAAGGTTGGCAGTTTGAAGAGAACACGGCAGGCAGAATACTTTACAAAATCGCAGATGACTCGCATGTGTTCCAGTTCAACAGCGAGGCAGAAGAATTTTACGCCGACGAAAGTGTTGTCGACACTGATACAGAGTTGAGAACTGAGCGAAACTCTCTGATTTCCTACATAAGGAATCCAAGTAGATTGATTCCAAACATGGATATGAACAAAAGGAAGGTGTTAGTACAAAGCATAGCTACTGCTCTTAGATCCCGACTGGAGTGCGAACCCAACTCTGTGATTTATGCTTTTGGAAGTTATTCGTCTTGTGACTAACCTATGGCATTGAAAAAAAAAACAACGTACAGCATAGTATCTACTTTTTTTCGGCTATTCCGCAGATGCTGTTGAAGAGGAAGTTGAGCAGCTTTCTCATCAGTTAACAGGACGTATGCCAGAGAAGGTGAAGCTAGAGTTCGACAAGGCCCGTAAAGGTATGCAATATTTCCTTCCCGTATTGCGAAAGCATATGCGATCTGGTTCTTTTCCCAATACTTACCGCAAAAATCTGATGGACTTACTAGCAAAGCTAGTTTCCATTCAGACTAGCACGGCAGAGGTGGAGAAAGAAATTTTTTATTTACTCTGTTATCAGAACACAACGCAGAAGTCGTACAACGATGGAGCATCTAAGCAATTACTTAAGGTTGTCAACCTTCTACTAAACATACTGTTATCTATTAGGTTGGAAACTAAGTTTTGCAACTACTTTCATGACTCAACTCTTTTTGGTTGTGGCGCACTCAAATTTGGGCAGCATGTAGAGCGTAGTGTGAGCTACATTTGACCAGAACTGTTTGCATTTTGAGAGCGAATTAGAAGTATTTCAGATATTTTTCGAAAACTAGTGAATTTTAAGAATTTTTGGGGTTCTAATGCAAAATGATGTTGTTAGCAGTCTACACCATCCGCAATAATCGGGAATCGTCTGCTAATTGTTCTTAGAGGTTGACTTATTCGGCTCAGCAAAAAAGAAATAAAATTTAGCGGCAAGTCAAGATTTGGCGCCCTCATAATCTCGAAAGTGTTGCTGTACGCAAGGCTGCCGGGGGCCGTCAATGACTAAGGAGTCGGAACCACAAAATTCCCCGAGCTTTTACATATTGAGGTTTTTTGATCTGCTAAACACGAATATCATATTTATTAGCTGAATCAACGCCTCGTTCCTTGTTTAGGATGGGACCCTAAATCGTATACCTACAATAATCCCACAAAAAAGCCCTTATCACGCAATTTCATTATTGTTTTCGTGATCAGCATGACGGATAACACCCCTATGCCAATTTTCAGCCAAATCCGTCAAACTTTGAATTTTTCCCCTTCATACCATACACCTACCGTAACCCTCACTGCGAAGTCAGAATTTGGTAGGACAGCAGCTGCGTTTGTAGCTTACGTAATAGCCATTGCAGTGGCAAAATTTGAGTGCGCCATGTTGAGTGAGAGGTAAGTTATGAGACCAGTTGCAAAACTTAGTTTCCAACCTAATAAAAACTTCATTTAAAGGATTGCTATAGGTGGTACAGACAGGCTGTCATCGTATGACTTTTTAAAATATCCTAAAAGATGGTATGAAGAAACTGGTCACCTACCTGCTGACTTCCTGGTGCTACCAGAGGGTCAGGAAAAAAAACACAAAAGCGCATAGAAGAAGAACATTTCAACTCCATGGACTCAGAACGCTTTTTGACGCAATTCTGCTCCTACTCCGATGATCTTTTGAAGGAAGAAGAAGATCTTTCAGGAAGCGAACTTGTTGTCTCTGACATTAGTGAT